AAGTTTTTCATCAATTCAGTTCCCATTCCCGCCCACTGGGTTCCCTGGCCAGGAAACGCAAATGTCACGATATTTGACCCATGTTTTGTGTTGTCGGCTTTGGTGAATTCGATGGACTCAAGAGGAATTCCTCCACCAGTGACTGCGAATGCCCTGTGACGGAGATGTTCTCTCTTTGCACTGAGGGTATAAGCTAAATCTGGCACTGCCTGGGGGTGGCGGGTGAGATATTTCATTATGTCCATCACCCGCTGATCAAGGGATTCAGGACAACTAGCTGACAATGGCAGAACTCGCGGGCTGTTGGTGTTTGTTTCCAATGCTGCCATTACCTTTGCGGGCATCAACGATGCCGCTGATTCCACGATGACCTATTCTGTCAATATGGGAGCACTCTCGAATATGTAGGACTACCTACATGGGCATTGGTACCGCCGACCCCGAAGCAATTAACACTGACACGTTCTTTCCGATCCGCTGGCCAAGGGAGAACATCAACGGGTACTGTCAAGCCTGCCTCTCTGAACGGAACTGATATTATGTGAGTAAAGGCCTTAGTATTGTGACTTGAGTTGAGGGAAGCGTACTGTTTGGATTTGGTGTCGAAAAGTTGACATTGGGAGGAATTTGTCTGTGCTCCAAGGCAAGCACTGCTTTAATCAAGCCTGCAAGACCCGCTGCGCCCTCGGTATGACCGATGTTCGACTTCACCTGTAGTCTCTACGTTAAACATCTGTCATTCGCAAATTGGTTACTGACTTACTCCTCCAATAATCATGGGATGGCGTCCGAAGGCATCGGCCACGGCGGTGGTCTCAACGACATCCCCCTTCCGGGTGGCCGTGCCGTGACATTCGACAAATGCGGTCTCTGCAAGATTCTCGAGATGGGCCTTTCGGTAGGCCTTCCGTATCAGCGCTTCTTGCCCAGCCGATGATGGGACCGTGATGTGGTTTGTTCGGCCATCGAAATTTGTTGCAACCGCCCGAATAACCCCACGAACTGGGTCTTTGTCACGAAGGGCATCGTCTAGTTTCTTGATATACAAGACGCATACTCCCTCTGCTCTGGCGTAACCGTTGGCTTCCGCATCGAATGTTTTGCAGATCCCATCGGGGGACAGCGCCCCGGCCTGCGACATATTGGTAGTCATTGTGGGGGTGAAAATCAGGCTGGAACCTCCAACGATCGCTGAAGGGCAGTCACCAAGGGCAATCGCCTGGCATGCCTCGTGGAGAGCCACAAGCGAGGATGAACAGGCCGTCCGACACGTCATGCACGGGCCCTTGAGGTCATATTCGAATGATACTCTGTTGGATGCCGCATAGTCACCGGTTCCCACGATGTGGAGAGGGCTCGTATTTTGGGTGTCCTTCGCTGTGAGATCTAGCCAGTCCTCGCCAAAGGTACCTACAAAACATCCGATATCTTTGCCTTGCCAGTCGACTTGTCCGCCGCTCTCCATGCACTCCCAGACCACTTCTGATAAAAGCATCTGCTGGGGGTCTACCCACCCCTGCTCATACCGATTGCTTTGAAAGAAGGACGTATCAACTTTCCCCAAATAGTCCCCGTCAAGGAAAAATCCCTGCTTGGCGATTACCGATTGTGTATCCCCGCCAGGGGTCCCGTGGAAGGCGTCCACGTTGTATCTCCCAGCGGGGACAGGAGCGGATGCGCATCTTTTGTCAATCATGAATTGCCAGAACTCTTCCGGGGATGAAATGCCTCCGGGCAGTCGTGCAGCCATTCCAACAATGGCAATGAGAGGAGGAGCATCGTGCGTCCATTGATCTTCTGAATCGTTTTGAAGCTCATCTGGATCGACTGTTGTCCATCCGGGGGAATTGCTAGCAGTCTCGCTGGCAGACATGTCTTGGAGTGAAAGATGAAGTTATGTCTTGAGGGTACTGAGTGTCTGTCTCTTTATACCACTCTTTGGCCAAATTCGGAAGAGAATTTATAGGAATCTCTTCCACTTTATATCTACGGAATATTTGCCGGTGTAACATAGTGAACGGTCTACGTGCGCCCTTGCTGTTCTTGCAGGCATGAGAGTTGGGTGTAGGTCTGCAACTTTAAGTCACCGCTTTTCTACGCGAGTCTGCGTTAGAATGAGACTAGGTACTGCGCGAACTCTGATGCGCCCCCTGACATATGACATATTACATGTCGATCAATTTATAGCGGCAGTGAATTTGCGGAGTGGGGTGTAGGTACTAATGGGTCTTTCTTCGGTGGCATTGGGTATGACTTAGACTCACGTGGTCATTTACCGTCATAAAGGCGTTCATATCATTCAATCCAAGCATTTCCACATCCAACCCCAGCTATGAAGCTCAAGAAAAAGCACATGAGTTATGCGTAATGGTGACTGGTCATAGACAACAGCACCCGCATCAAGGGGCCCCTCACATAATGCAGGAGGATTCAGCTGCGCCCATATTAATTTGACTCCGTTGCAGAATGACAGCCCAGTTGCGAATGTCAAGCCGAACCCCTTCGGTATCTAGAAAAGATACCCGCTATTCTGAAGGGATAAGCAGCATTCCACGGCAGAGTCCTTATTCTTATATACTTTCCCCCAACTGCACGGTACGATCACAGCATTGGACTTGAAAGCCCGCTGACACGATGAATATCCCACAGGGGTTGCCGACGCTGAAGTGGAGCGGCTTTGTGAACATAGACCTTACAAGGGGGGTATTTGTACGCTTATTGGCCATTTTTGTCATCGTCTACGTCGTCGGACTTGTCTTCTATCGACTCTGCCTCAGCCCGCTAGCTAAGTTCCCTGGTCCCCGGTTGGCCGCCGCGACAGGACTCTATGAAACATACCATGACGTGCTTCGCGACGGTCAGTTTACCTGGCACATCGAGCGTCTGCATCAGAAGTATGGTCCCGTGGTGCGCATCAATCCATGGGAAGTCCACGTTAAGGACCCGGAAAACTACTCCACGCTGTATGCGGGAGCGACACGAAAGCGAAACAAAGACCCCTGGTTCACCTTCATCGGATTACCTTATTCAATTTTCTCGACAGATGGGTATGCGTTGCATCGCGCCCGACGAAGCGTGTTAGGGCGCTTCTTCACAAGGCAGGCGATACTGGATCTGGAGCCGCTTATTCAAGCTAATATTCGGGCTTTGTGTCGTCATTTTCGTAACGCACAAAGGGACCACAACAGCTTGGAGCTTCACAGCACGTTTCTCTGCTTCACAGGTGATACAGTCTCACAACATGCGTTTGGGAAACAGAGCGGCTTTCACTCCCTGGATCAAGCCGAGCTGACTGCAGATCGCAAAACAAAGATGAACTCTGTCTTTGAACTTCTTCCGGTGACAAGGCATTTCCCCTGGCTTTGTGGGCTGGCGCACGTCTTTCCTTTTATAGCAGGGCTTATTTGTGCGGATTTCATCGGTGTCTATACGCAAGAACTGGTGGGTGGGTTTTGCGTCTGTATCTGGAATGCTAAAGTTGATGGGAATCCAGGAAATCCAACACATGGTTCGCAAGGCCATACAGGAACGAGGCACGGGAAGCAGCGAGAAGCCCAAGGCAATCTATCCTGCAATTCTTGAAAACGATAGAGTGCATGAAGATGAGAAAAGGTTCGCCCGTCTGGCAGATGACGCGATCCTCCTAATAGCTGCCGGTACCGATGCGCCGGGAAGAGCGTTGGCTATGACTTTATATTTCGTTCTGCGAAACCCAGAGGTGCACAAAAAAGTTCGTGCTGAGCTGTGCGCTTCTTGGCCAGATGCGTCGGTTGAGCCAGGACTTACAGTAATTGAACGGTTGCCTTATTTCGTATAGTTCACTTCCTCAACTGATGGTCCTCGAAAGAAATGGCTAACCCGACACCAGACTGCCGTCTTGAAGGAGGGACTCCGATTAGCCCCCGTCGTCAGCTCCCGTCTTCCACGGATTGCACCGGATGAAATGATGCAATTTCATGGATATGAAATCCCACCGGGTGTAAGCCTAGTTACCCCCACCACTGCTCGAAACTGATGGCAGATGCTTGTCCCAGACTCTTGTGAGCATGACCGCTTATTACATCCTCCGTGATCCAAACATTTTTCCTGAGCCGTTGAGATTCCTACCCGAACGCTGGCTCCTGGAGCCAGGAGATTTGCGAAACTTGGAGCGGTACCTCGTTACATTCTCCAGGGGCACCTTGGGCTGCCTAGGTCCGAGGTAAGTTGTCACACGAAAGGTCCCAGCAGGCCGAAGCTAATCGAGCGCAGTATGTGTTGGGCATGGCTGTATCTGGTGCTGGGGACACTCCTGCGAAAGTTCGAAATGAGACTCTACGACACGACTGAGCGAAATCTCGAGGTGGTCCGAGATAAATTCCTCGGGCAGACGAGGCGTGGGATGAATCGGATACAGATCAAAGTGTTGAGGGAGTATACTTGAAGACGATTGTGTCCATTGTAGTGCCTGCGGGTTAAGACTTTATGGTACATTTATAAGCGGTCCGTTCTAGGCGTACCATAGTCAGGGCTAAGGATGCCGCGAGAAAATATGTTGACTCATTGTCTCGAAGACTGGAAAACAGATAGATAACTTGCCGGGTTCGACAGAAAGACCTGCATTGCATATCTTTCTTTGTTCAACCCTGTAGTCGCGCTCTCGGATCGAATCATTGGAGTACGACGACATCCAATGTAGATATTGTAAGATTTCTCGGTCAAGTCTAATCAGGCTATGTGTGGACTAGCTTCTACTCGACTGCACATGGTAGGCAGACATTTTATTTGGGTGTTGTAGAGTAGTAAGTAGCATGAGCTGGCAGGCGTAAAGAGTCTTCCCACATGTGATACATGTTATAACATTGGCAGGCCCCTACTCCCAACAATTTGGATTCCTGGGCTGCATGTACGCCACGGCAGGCTCGGACAGAGAGGATAAAACGGCTTTGTGCATGTAGTGCTACTGGGGTAGCTAACCGAGTATATCCAATTATATGTTTTGGCAAAAGAGCAAAAAAGAAAGCCCAACGCGGGGCTCGAACCCGCAGCCTTGAGATTAAGAGTCTCACGCTCTACCGATTGAGCTAGCCGGGCTAGTTCGGTGAAAGATAGTGCTTTACTACGCTACATATTCCAAAGGAAACTGTGCTAATGCTGGCCCATCCCTCTCCTCCTCCCCGGAGTAGATACGCTCGAGCCGAAGTAGACACATATACCCTTCTAGTCTGAGGTAATATTATCGTTGCTAGCACCTTTCGGTATTTCAACTTTAGTGCAGGTTGTTCTCGCCATGTTTCCCACGCGTAAGAACTTACTCAGTAAGTACTAGGGTGTACCGCCTATGGACAGGCTATCCAACCGCCATGGTTCTACGACATGCGGCAGAGGAGTACTTGTGACTCGCCAATCGGCTTCGTCTTTGTACCTTTTCTTCCGCTACTTTTTCGCTTGCTACTTTATGCACGTGTCGTGGTAAGGTTGTCTGTGGTTCGCTTTCCCTTGCGCGCCAACTGCAATATCATCCCACTCACCTAAACGTTAAGCACCAGTTTGCAGGCGCGGATGCCAGAGTTCCACCGGCACCCAATATATATCTCCACTGAGCTTGCAAGCCAGTCGTTCAATCACTTCGCCTACACCGGCCATAACACCATGAATTCATACCCAGTACTAGTGAGAAGCCTTGGGTAATGAGACCACTAGCAGTTGTTGAAGATAGGTGGCAGGGCCCAAGCTTGCCGGGCTTGCTCCATCGGTAGACAACGAAACCCAGACACCGAATCGGTTCTTTGCCTACCAGGTCCGTACGTTAAGGGATATGTAGCTTACTAAATTACCATTCTTCACCGAACTAGCCCGGCTAGCTCAATCGGTAGAGCGTGAGACTCTTAATCTCAAGGCTGCGGGTTCGAGCCCCGCGTTGGGCTTTCTTTTTTGCTTTTCTCACGTCCGCTTCAGGATTCGCTTGGGTGCTCTCTTCTTTCATTTTTTCTTTTTCTTTCCCTGCTACAAAACAAAACACGGGACCAATATGTGTTAAGTAGACACAGGCCTGTTAATATGACAATGACACCTTTTTTTTTTTGATCTTGCTTTGGAGCTACACCCTACATCGTCCTCAACATACGACAGTAGTCAAACCTGATGCTCGTAGATACGTATCTGTATGCATTGATATATATACCTAAGTATGAAGCGAAGCAGAATATCAACCGGAAGACGACTGTCGACTATCACAAAATATGGTGAAGCGTATAGATCATAAACACCAAGAACCGAAAGACAACTGACCCTCCCCAGAATGACGCTCATTCCGGATCCACGATGGTTGAGCTTGACTCCCCAAGCATCATACTCTTCCCAGCCCTCTCTTCAGCCAATACCCTGACTGTCTCGGTAAGTGACATGACCTGTTCCTTCAGTCGCATGATCTCCAACATGGTGCCGTCAATTTGAACATTCGGGGTGGTTTCCCGCACAGTCTGCGTCCAGCTATCGTCGAGATCAAAGTCGACTTCCTCGGCGGCGTGTTCCCATTCCTGCACGTTATCATCGTCCTCTTCACCGCGCCGACGGTTCCACCTGATGCGTCTTGCGTCGCGCACCTCGAAGAACGCCGTGATAACGAGGATGGGTGAGTATATAATGCCCATGATGACATCGTTGAGCTTGGCGTAGTATTGCCTTGGTAGCCACCATTCAAACGGGAGCACTAAGAAGATGATCTCCAACAGATTGAAGGCTAGTTTAGGCGTTAGTCATGGCTATCAGAAATAGTAAGCTAAACATACGAGGTATAAAGACATTCTCATCCGGCGCGCGGACGAACTGCATGGTTTTCTGAGCGAAGATGGCCATGTACTCATCAATAGCATTTCCCGAGATATCCTCGTAAGCACTGTTGTAGAGCGCGATCAGGATATTCAGCAGAACTAGAGCGGACCGAATCAGCCTGGCAACCAAATATTATACCCAAGGGATACCCACTGGTCATTACAACGAAGTTGAAAACGTAGTAGAGGATGATTCCGAACGGAAAGGCGAAGTCTTCAAACGTGCTGAATTCTGGGCTCTGCATGACACTGTTCGCCATTCCTTGCACAATACCTCTTACGATGGGAGTATCGTCATCTACTTGAGCCATGCCGATGAATGCCTGGAAAAAGCCCGCAAGAACGACAAAGAGAAGGGCAAAGAAAATCAAGCTCTCCTTCATCATAACCCTCAAGACCACGAACATAGCACCGAAAAAGCGGAAGGAATCGAGATAGAGCATCATGCGCATCCAGAACATGGGCCCCGCAAATGCCAGAAAGTTGTAGCTCAATTCATTCAGACTTTGTCTTTCCGCATCGTGAACAGATTGAGAATGCGCCAAGGCAGCAACACGCAGGAAGAAAGACACGGCGAGAATTGCGTAGAGCGTAGAGTTGAAGGCGTTCCAGAAGTCTAAGTAGTGCCAGCCGACCTTCCAGAGTTTGGCTACTTCGTCGCAGATGAAGGCAAGGGTCATCACATAGAGGATCCCCTCGACGGCATCTAGGTCACCGGTGGGATTTACTGTGTTGATAACCTGAGTATAGAGTCCGAGATAGACGAGGGAGAAGAAGATCTGGCAGATGTTCTGATATAGAGGCGTCCTCATCCGATCTGGGTGGAAGTGAACCGAAAAACTCGTGTTGTCCCTCTCCAGGTAAGGGACAAAATTGGTTGGATTGCCCTCTTGCTGGCAGAACCATCCATTCCACAGGTATCTGATACACTTTTGATAACCCGAGGAGCCAATGACCCTCAAAGCATGCAGATCAACAGCGCGCTCGATGACATTTACTGGCATAGTCTCCCCACCATCGATGAAGATCGAATACCGCTTAAGGAGAACATTGATGAGTAAATTGTCCTGATCTTCCTCGGTTTCAATGCTATATCAATTTAATCAGCAAAGGCTCCATAATAATGTTAGGAAAGGGTGTACTACATCCTCTTCGCTATGACCTCACAAGCAAGGGCTCGGCGCTCATGTAAATCGGAATCCCAGAGCTCTTCCTCGGCCTGAAGCTTGAACCAACGCAAACAAACGAGCAGACAAAATGGAACACAGGCCTGCAGGTCCTCACCTCCTGCTAGACGGGCTGTCTGAATTACATTCTTGGTGATGACCCGACTATTCGGACTGACAATATCACTCTCATCTAGCTCGCAAGGGATGACTTGCTCCAGCTGATACTTCAGACGAAGAGCGACTTTTGTCACCTCCTTAGAGGGAAGAGTAGAAGAGACTTGGTCATCTGTAAAGGCAGGAAGCACTATGAACCCTGTTAGCCGAGAGCACGTTGTAGAGCGGCTCCGCAATCAGATGACGTACATCGGTGTTGTTCCATATGCAGGCGGTGGCGGGTCCGCCCCGTGTCGGTGTTGAAGATATCTCGCCAGTGGCCCATTTCTTATGGCCCAGAGGGATAGATCGATTAGTAGAATAGCAGCACTGATCAGATTTTCACAGGCGCCGAGAAGGGGGCTCAGGAGGGAGACTCAGAGCTACGGTCTACTTAGTTGTAAGTCTTTCAAGACTAACTCGGCCAGGCCGTGCGCCCCACTCTTAGCCGCTCACCCAAACCACCAATGAAGGTGCCATCCCAAGGTGCAAACCATACAAGCGGTCAGGATACTACTAGTACTGTTACTGAGCAGCAGAGCGAAATGATCAACCTGCTCCTTAAACGTCATCCGGGAGAGAAGGACTTATAAATCAGTATCTGAAACGGCCACTGGGGTTGAACCGTTCGTTGATCAAAGAAGCTTATGTACATCAAAACGTGGGAGGGCTCCTGTTGGGCTAAAGCCACTCACCAACAGAGAGTCAAGCAACATCCACTGATCAACAATACAAGGGACAATGTGCATGTCATTATCACCTTATGGGAAAGAAAGGCCTTTGGATGGGATGAGGCCCTTCCGATCGTCTTCATACCCCGCCGATGATCTCGATTTCACCCGTCGCACATCGCACATTAAACCGTACTTGCGTCTCATAAATCGTGTCATGTCCAGAAACTCTATTGAACTTTTTTTCCACGCCCTACCCGACACACGTATATGATCGCCTTCAATCTCCAGTCTGCGATACCCTCCAACACCAGTTCGTGAAGCGTCCTGCTTGTTTCTCATGTCGCCGTCGAAGCGAACCCTCAAGCTTCACACGCTGTCGCTAAGCTTGCCGCAGGCAATTTACTCGGGAACACCCTCATCGCTCTCGGACATGCTCTCGTCGCCGCTGACTTCCATGTTCTCACGCTCACGCTTCTCCATGAGCTCCTGAAGAGCAGCATCATCGTGCTCAGTAACAGCCTTGGGAGCCATCTTAACGATGCAGCCACCGCCAGACTCCTTGATCCTGGCCTCGATCCTTTGAATGGCCTCCTCGAGCATCTGAATACCAATAGCCTTGTCCAAGCACTGGCTGGTCAAGACGTAGAGTGGCGGGGCAACCAGCTTAACCTTGATCTGGGTTTCAGGGGTGTTGTTGGCCTCGGCGGTGCGCAGGGCATCCTTGACGGCATCGATACCGTCGTAACCGAAGCAGGTAACCTCAATATCGGCACGGACCTTGGTCGGGTGAGGAGTAAGTCTCTTGCTGATGTAGTGCGTCAACTCCTTCTTCACGGACTCGCTAGGGAATTCAACCTCGTTCCACACGTCGGGGTTCCTGTGATGATATGAGTACTCGATCCGCGATAGCCTTGAGTCGAGAGGTTTCCTTACGTGATGGAGATCTTGAACGCATCGTGGGAGTGTCCGTATTTGCGGTTCAAAGGCCATCCGATCTGCTGGTATAGGGTCTCAAGAGGGGTCTGAGTGGCCTCGGCAACGTGGCGCATGATGGAGTGGACTGCCTTGCTCTTGTTGTATCTTTCCTCGCACTTGACAACATCTTCGGGAGAAACTCGACGCTTGGAAAGATCAATGTAACCTAAAGACGTAGAGAAAAAAGAGTCAGTAAATTGCCGCTGATATTGTCATCCAGAGGACTCCGACTTGCCCTTCTCCTTGTCCACACGAAGCACGATGACGACCTCGTTACGGCCGATACGAAT